TAAATTGAAAGAATATGCTGTAAAAAATGTGTGTTGTATTAAAAATCATTAATAAAAAAAGAAGAAATTTAAAAAAAAAAAAAGAAAAAGAAACAGTCTCATCCCGTGAGATTTACAGCCTCTGAAAACCTGATGGAGGGTCAACGATAGATTGGTTCCAGCTTGATAGTACACAACAACAATAACAATGTGTATGGAGGCAGATTACCAAGTCCTTCCTCCACTAAGTCATTAGGTGGGTCTGAACCTCCAACCCTGTGGTTAGTTGGCAAGCACTTAACCACTGAACAAGCAGAGCTCTTTCAAGAATACAGTAGGCATTGGGTCAATGCTTCCTTCTCTCTGTCACTGTGAAATCAGAGACACTGTCATCCCAAGGGTGGGTGATCCCTTTTCAGACCACAAGTAAAACTGAGAGCCCAGGCAGGCCTATCACCAGAGCCTTGGAAAATAACTAAAAAACTACCTCCCAATTATCTTTCCTGTCTTCCCTAGCCCTCTCTCCACTAGTATTAATCTTTAAGTCTCCCCCAGAACAGCCTGTCCCCTCCATGTCCCGTGGCACCCCCAGGTGCCCCATCCTGTGATCCAGAAACCCACGGAATGCCTGCCAGGACCCTAAGACCCCAGGCACTAAATCACACAACAAACATTTATTGCCAAGAAAACAAACAGATTCATCCTGGAGAGGATTAAACCAGGCTGCTTCTTAGAGGCAAGGATTCTGGGGCTTCGTCTGACATACTTTGGACATGTTGTAAGGAGGGACAGGTCTTTGGAGAGGGACATCATGCTTGGGAGGGTGGAGGGACGGTGCAAGAGGGGAAGACCCTCTATGAGGTGGATTGATTCAGTGACTGGGGTAATCGGGATGGGTGTGTCAGAGGCAATGTGATTGGCACAGGATAGAGCAGGGTTTAGGGCTGTTGTACATAGGGTCGCTATGAGTCACAAGCAACTCGATGGCACATAACAACAACAACAACAACAACAACATGATGTGTCTGACACTATACTAGACCCTGGAGACCCCAATGCAAAGAGGATACACAGAATTCCTTTCCTCCGGGGCGCTCCCAGCCTGCCGGGGCAGCAAAAGTAAAGAACAATGACATGAACGTGATCATTTCAAACACTGATGTCAAGGAAAGAAAAAGGAGGAGGGGAGCACCCCTGGTGAGGGATTCCTAGGTGGGGGGGGCCTCTCTGAGGAGGTGGCACTGCAGCCAAGAACCCGTGGAGGAAGAGACCACAGCCCTGTACAAAGTGTCCCAGGCAGAGACTACCTCCTGTGCTAAGGTCCCAAGACAGGACCTCAGGGAAGATGTCAGGAGGTCAATTACTGATGCCCTAAGGGCAGAAGGAAGGAGTGATGTGTTGTTGGGAGAATGGGGAGCTACAGAGGGTGTAAGAGGAGGAGTCTGGCGTCCTTCATGACTGGAGGAAGACTCATCAACAACCTTTGTTATGTAGATGATTCAACCCTGCTTGCTGAAAATTAGGAAGACCTGAAGCATTTGCTATAGAAGGTCAAGCAC